CCCCAGCCACACCCGGTACGAGCCATGTAGTCGGGCTACCCTCCACCGCGATACACGGCGGACAATTGTTGCTTCTGCGCCCACAGGTGGTACATCTTCATCTTCGATCTTCGTGCCCGTAGACGTTCGCGTCCGGTGTGCCACGTCGTCGAACGCGACCGGGGCCCATGGACGAGCCTCGATCTATCGTTGACCGGTCGACCAAGCGCGCGTCGTGCTGCTCGTAACCGCGCTCTGCTCGTCCATGTCGTGCCTCTCTCTACGTGTCTAGAGACCCCAGTGTTACTTACGTGCCACCGCTTGCAAAAACCTATTTCGTTTCCTCGTTCAACGTCGTTTTCAACGTTCGCCCGTCATTTGTTTCGTCGTCGTGATTACTTTTACGTATACTTCCGTGGTGCTGCTTTCACGATACTCGCGTCTATGTGTATTGTGAGCTTGGGTTTTCCGTGTGCGTTACTCGAAGCAACCCCTCTACGGCAAACGATCGAGTCGTATCGAACCGAGTAGACAGGTAAAGTGGAGCCTGAATTATTTCTGCGTTAATCGAAGGTGTTAGGGAGGAAGAGGAATAGAAGAAAGAGAAAGGTGGGACGAAGAAAGAGTACGAGGAGGGACTAGGAACGCATACGTGGTTCGTCGCCGTGAGCCACCGGCGATCCAAGGCTGCGACGAGGCCCGCGAACAGCCGCACGAGGGCAGAGTTGTAGCTTCACGCGGGTTCCTCCTTTCGCGGTGCTTCCCCGCCGTACAAAACCAGCCATCACCAGTGCGAGGAGGCTAAGGAAGGGCGAAGAAGTCGCGCAAAGTCCTCCTACGGGTTTGTTCCTGCTTTCTGACTGGCAAGCAAGACACCAGGCTACCGGTAGACACTGAGACAGGGTGAAAGAGAGAAAGGGAGAGGGGACCACTTACCAGAGGGAGTTATCGACTACACACGTAAGGCGACAGCGCACACGTACGGATACACAAACATCGCGGACCTGTTGTCCAACTTGTTGCTCGTCCCTGCAAAAGGCACACCTCGCCTGCCTCCACGACGCACACGTTTGCTTTCCGAAAAAGGACCTTCGGTTATTTACAATTCGTTAACTCGAAGATAGCAGCTTGAATTTTCAGCTGGAAGAACCACAGCCTGGCTGGCTCGGTCTGTTATTCAGCCTACCGAGAGAATCGCGATTAATCGAGCGTATTTTATAAATCCGCTCGCTCCAGAGATAAGAAACTGGTGATTCGATTTGCTCCTCTACGCTACTGGAATTGTACCTTCTTATTAGAAAATCTGTTTAATGGTGGAAGATTGAAGGTTCTACGAGAGACTGTTTTCATCGGGAACATTGGTGATTTGTATCGAGAAGAAGGAATATATTGGGAAAGATTTTTTTGAAATTTACTGGGACGGTTTTAAAGAAGAGTAAGAGGAAGCACGCGGCGTCGCGACCATTATTTGTCGGATTCACCGCACTCGAAATCGCCGAGATGAGGGTATCGTCGCGAGAATGGACACGCCCGATGCTGCACGAGAGTGTTGCCGGCAGAATGGAACGATGCTCGGATCAGGAGGGCGAGTAGACGGTGAAAAGTAGTCCGAGTGGCGAGAACTGACCTCTGAGAGAGACTCGATGCGGTATCAGGACGAACCGAGATATAAAACACGAATAATTAAATACAATATGGATATTCGTAAATAATCACGAAGTATATGTACATTTTTAATAACCGTGAACACTGAAACAAATTTTAATCGAAGAGAGTTTTTCAAGCGGCGTACGAAAGAAAATTACTGAAGAGAATAGCGTAATAAAAATAGTTGATACGGATTGTTTGGATTTTATTAAACTACGATGAAGCGTATAGATGAAAGATTTCTCCAGAGGAAGAACGTAAGCACCGGAGGCGACAGTAAGCGGAAGACAGGGCAAAAGTAGACGAAGACCGAGGAATACCGTAAGAACCACGTAATCTTCCACCCGTGAATACAACGAAAGCAATATTACAAACAAGGTAAAGCAACAAAGAGAATCTAAGAAAAGAAACAAAAGAAGCAAACTAAGAAGAAATAAAGCAAGGCAAGCTACATTTTTCTTTCTCTCTTATAAACTCGAGTTACACCGAGGAATCTCATCTGGAACCACGTACGTTAACACGCACAAACCAAGTGTTATTAAAAAGGAAGTTTCCAGTGAGGAAACACTTCCGGATAATCCCAACTTCCGGGTGTATCTGAAATCTCGAGTTGGACTGACTCGCTTCGCCGAAAAGATATTTTAATATAAATCTATACACGTATCTATATATGTGTATATATACACACACTATATAAATACACAAATATACAAGTATATTTATACACACAGACACGTGTGTATATATATTTACGTGAAATACACACGTAGCTCCGTTTGAAATCGTGCAACGACATCTAGAATTAAAATACCGCCCCCAAACGGCGATCGGAATCGACATTTCCGGTAGAAACGAGCCCGCCACAAGGAAGTGTCCCGTTTTTATCAACTCTGCGAATCGAATATCGATGCTGCAATTACTTGGAGCTTGACTAGTTCCTCTCGAGACGCTCGTGTAAGTCCACTTGGAACACGTTTCATCGTACGACACAGGGAACACAGGACGAAATTTGTTTAACGAGCAAGAGGAGACTCGATAGGTGATCCAATCGCGAACAGGAAGTAGGATGAGGACGAGAAGATTGACGATGAGAAACGAGGCGTTGCTGGGCTGAAGCATCGATCGTTCGATCGACCGTAATCCTGGTGGCCTCCACGAGGACC